CTACCCTATGGTGGCATTATTTAGTGTACAGCAATACACGTGTAGATGCTGATGGGACTGGTTGGGGCACAATAGCGCTTCAGTGCTGGGGCTGCCTGCCAGCTAGCCCCACATTAGAGCACCCTCGTGCCCCAGTCAGCCTCTCTACTGCATGTTGAGCCGGGTCACAGCAACCCTGGGTTGACAGGTTGACCCTCCAGGAACCCTGCCAGTCACGGCTGTTCCAACCTGGTTCAAAATGTTGCGGTCCCAGGTGCATAAAACTCTGGTGCAAAATGCGCCAGCTTACTGTGCTGCATTAATAGCATGTGTAGATGTGCCCAGATAGTTATAAAGCTAACAAATGTCAACACAAGTGGCTCATATTAATAAGCAAATATAAAGTTACATACATGGAATTACTATATATTCAGTATACATGAAGTATACAATAAGCCCATGTACCTTGCAGCCGTATAAAAACTATGGACTTATTTGCGCATGCAGTTTAATATATCATAAGATACTACAAAATGCATCTGAAGCTTTGGAAAAAAGTTACAACTGTATATAGTTTGTAGCAAAATAATGACCATTGCCAAGCACCCCTCAAAAACAGAAGGTATGGGCACTATTATATGTGCCATGACACACTGTAGCAGACTGAGTCTGTTGGGGTGTTCTAATCAGAATGAGCCAGCGTGCTGCAGTGTTTCACGTATTCAGTGCCCTGCATTTCAAAATGGTGTCAAGGGGCACTTTAACTAAAGCTGGTTGAACAAGCTCGTTAAACGAGCTTTAGTTAAAGTACCCCCACCGCCATTTTGAAATGCAGGATGCTGAATACACAACATGCTGTGGGTGTTTAAATTAGAGTAGCTCCGGAGAGCCATTCTAATTAAAATGCGTGTCACTCCCCACAATACTGGGCACATTTATAGGCACATCGTAAAACCTTGGCTGACTGTATGATAGTTCAGTCAGCTTTATACCTTTCATTTACTCATCTGATTTACAGAAAGGATACACCCCCCCCACCAGGTGAGGATGCACAAGAAATTGTGTGGGGTACCTAACCTCTGATGTTTATACTTCTGTTTTCAATAATCTTTAATACTTCCCATCTTTCAAATTCAAGGTTTTACTTTTTAAAAATAAGTTACCTCCCTTTTGTGATTTTCTCCCTTCATTTACTGTTCTCCACTGACAAAGCTCATAAATTTTGTCAGAGCAGAGCATCCTGCTTCACAGTGGGTTCATCTTTATGTGTGTTTTACTGTGGAGTTGACCAATTAGCTTCACAGCAAAGCGTCACCATCTACACATGTGCTGGCATTCGCGTGCAGTAAATTAATTAATTCTGCCATAATTCCGACCATGGATCTGGGTTTTCCACTTGCTATGGAAAAACATGGTAAAATTGATAAAACACAGATTGTTTCCTTTAAAGGAAAAAAAACACGAGAAATGGCAGGTTTCCCCATGCAGGCTGGCAGACTTCTAGCCTGCGAGAGGCTGGAGAGAATGAGAGAAGGGTGATCAGGCAGAGGGTGCCATATGCATGTGCACATGCACATAGCAGCCAGGCAGCATGAGAACAGCTCCCACAGCTTCCTGCAGGTAAGTCTCGGGGGGTGGAAATTGAAGCCCCTATAGTGAGGGAGGGAAGCAGGTAGGCAGGGCTGGGGGCACTGCCCAGTCAGGGTGGGACTTGGGGCCTGGGTGGGAATGCACAGACACAGGACCAAGGTGGGAAATGGGACAGAGCTGCGAGCAACTCATCTGGAAGATGGCGGGGGGACTGGCTCCCCCCTTCTGTGTACACTCCCACATGAGGGCATGGCGGGCATGTGCCCCCCAGCTTAGAGGGCAGAGTGGGGTGGGTGCAGGCTCGTAGATGCAGGCTCAGGGCTCCCCACCCTGCTGTACTCTCTGGGGCCTCCGTGCCCCAGCAGGCAGAACCGGGCATGGCAGGGCAGAGTGGGGTGGGGAGGCTCAGTGCCACTACTGGGAGCCTGTGAGAGGCGAGGCAAAAGCCCCCTCAATGTGTCCCAACCCCTCATTTGATGCGCCCCGATACTCACTACAGGAGCCAAGATGAGCGGCAGCTGGGGAGAAACGCCAGCACAGGCTCGGCAGTTCTGGAGCTGCCTGAGCCTGCGAATCCGTGACCACCAAGGACATGGTTCCCAAGAGGCGCGGGCTGCTCAAAAGGCAGTCAGGGATCCAGCTGGGCCAGTGCTGCGGAGAAGGGAGCAGAACGCTGGCCAGGAGACACTGGCGGCAGAGCAAAGGAGCACCAGCCGCGAACACTGGGAAAAGAGGCTGAGCGTCTGTCAGAAGGCTCCAGCAGATGGAACGAGGAGCCCAAGCCCCAGAAATGGAGGGATGCCAGGGAGCTCCATTAGGGGGAAGCAGTCCCCTTGGATGCTCGGGAGCAGAGCCACAGCCACGCCAGGGAACACAGGTACTGCAGCAGGGAGGAACAACGAGGGACTGCCAGCACACTTGGGCAACACAGCAAAGGAGGTGCAAGAGACTATGAAGCCCCATGTGGGAGTGGCATGTGCTACTGGCTGGTGGGACCCTGGCAGCCCAGCTGTAGGTCAGATGGGTAATAAGGGGGAATGGGTGCAGGCCCCCAGGGGGGCCTCCCCAAGAGGGCCAACACATGCCCAGCATTGGACAGCCAATCCATCCAAATGCCCACTAGGCAGAAAAGACACAGTCTTCGGCAAGACTTTGGGCAACTGGGAGACAAGATCCCAGGAGCCTGTCAGCGGACGCTGACTTCTTAAGTTTAATTTGGATTCTCAGTTGTAGTTAACCCCAGACCAGGTTGCCCAGGCCTCAGTCTGAAGACTAAGGATGACCTGGGAAGAAGGACTGCCAGGAAGACCTGACCTTTGGAAGCAGGCAGAGTGGATGAGGTGGGATCATCCCAGCGCAAGATCTGAAGAAGAGCAGAGTCTATCCCTGCCTGTGAATGTGGTGAGGGTGGAGTAAAGGGGAGGCTGGATCCCCACGAAGAAAGCCCAGGGTCGAGATCCTCTTGGGCCACCTACAGGGAACTGCCTCCCCAGAGAACAAAGACATGGCAGGTGAGTAGGAGCAGTACCCGAACCATCTAGGTAGCACCAAATCCAGATCTCAGCCTGATGTCACTGGGGGGCAAGGCACCAACGAAAAAGAGGCCAAAGCCCTATAACACCTACCAGCGACAGAGTCCTACACCACCATGGTGAGGCACCCCTACATCTACCCTCCCTGCAAATGGGCTGTGCTCCAGCCATGCCACCAGTGGGGGAGGAGATCCAGGCTCCGCTCTCTGCTCTGCTGCATCACTTGCTTCCTCCCACAGGCAGGAGCTGGGGCAGGGGGCTGCAGACTTGGGTCCCAGGCCCTATAGCCCTGGCAGCCTGGGGGCCCCTCCAGCAGGGCTGGGGTGGGGGGGGCAGGGGGCTGTGGATGGGGAGTGAAGGGCACCAGTAGGATCCAGGGGGCTGTGCATTGAGAGCGAGTGGCACCAGCAAGGCCAGGAGGCTGTGTGTGGGAAGTGAGGGGCAATGGCATTGGCAGGGCACTCGCATACCAAGGCTGCTCAGCACTACAAAGCAGGAGAGGGAAACAACTGCAGCTGGATCCAAGTCCTGGTGAGTGAAGGGAGCAGGGGGAGCTCTGATTTTCCATGATGAAAAACCTAAAATCAAATGCCGAAGTTTATAGGCATTTAGAATTTATTGTATTATAGTGATTGAGGAACTGGTAGGCTTCCGAATTTACTTTTATATATACATATACATACATATATACACACACACACACACACACACACACACACACACTCTATAGCTATAGATGTATATCTATATTATATATAAATATAAAAGTAATTTTTAAAAACAGGGAAAACCAGTATCCCTGCTTATGATGGAGTCCTTTACTGCACAGAAAGCACAAGTGGATGGTGATGGGCTCACAGTCGGTTCAGGTGGTCAGCCACATGGCTCCGCACTTTGGGCACTCTTGTGCCCCAGCCAGCCCCTCCGCCGCCCCAGTGCCACCACCTAGGGCCTGGGGCTGACCCCTGCTAAGCCTGTCGCCAGCCCAGGGCTGCTCCACTCTGGCTCAAACTGCAGCAGTCCCAGGCTCATGTGAATATGCTACGCCCCAGAGCAGTCAACTCCAGCGGGAACTGCACCAGAGTTTATTGAGGAGCACTAATCGCATATATAAATATACCCAGTATAAAGTTAAGCAGCAGCCCTCTCTGAACCATTAGTATCCAAAATGTATTTTTCCCTGTTACACAGCTAAAATAGTTATGTATACATGGCAGCAGGCTTAAATTCAGTGCACACATGAACAGGAAGCAGCTTCAAAAGGTTATATAACCTACTAAAAACATCAACACCCTCAAAAGGTACTACTCCCTCTATAAGGTTTATTTTGGAACGAATATGTTTTGATACAAAAGCTGTTCCAAGAAAGGCTGCAAGATATTTTTGAACCACTTCAAAAATCAATAACCCCTCAACTCCACTCTCCAAATATGAAAGAGTAGTTGGAATGCTGCTTTTTTATCTCTCTCTCTTTTTAAGATGTCGCTTCTGGGCAGAGTCTAAGTGTACCCAAAATGCTAAAGAGAATCTCTTCAATATAGCAAGGTAGACAGAAAGCTATTAGAACAATTTAAACAGCAGTGCTCACTGCTGCTGGTATTATAACACTGCTGCTGGCATTATAATAGTAGACACTATTTAGACAAAAGTAGTACTCTTGTGTAAGCTTTATCTGGACATGTATTTTTGAACCAACTAATGACTGCTTAAAATTGCCTTAAAAATTCATGCACGCTACACGATACTAATAAAAAACATTTAGTAGAAGACAAGTCTATAAAATTGAAGTTTTAATCTACTATGAGCCACATTAAGGATAGCAACCCAATGAGTTCATAGTATTGTAAAACAAAACCAAACAAAAAACCTTTAAAAATTCTTGAGTGTCTACTTGAAATGCAAAACTCTAAAACTCTTGGTTCTGAAATTATACCTTTTGTTAGACAAACTAAGAAATTGCAAAAAAGCATCTTTTTTCCACAAGCTTTCGGGCGCACAAGCCCTTTGTCAGGCTCAGGGAAAAGTAAAGATGGTACAAAGTCCCCATAGGTACACTTAGTGTCTACCTAGAGTTTTAAAACATTCCACTAAACAGGAAAAACAACTGTCATCTTCCCTTTGGAAAAAAAAGAGAGAGTAAGCAAAACTCAGATCACACAAGGAAATTCAAGCATTGTATTAAGAGAAAGTTATTAGGTATATGAGAGTCATTTGAAAAAAGATGTTTTGCTCCCATATCCAAGCTGGAGTTGTAGAAAATTGTGACACTTTCTCCCCACCCCACCACACTAATTTAGAAAGATTCAGATTCTCATCAAAGTCAATAATAGCGGATAATGATAGTGTTCAATACCACTAGTACTAGAAGTACTAGTAGTACCATTATGCGAAGAACAAAAACTAACTGAAAGCAATAAATTATCTTCATGCCTATTCAAGGTAATGAAACCGTATATGCTCACATCATCATAAAACCACTACTTTCAGACTTGATTACGGTAAACTTACTTAATCTCAGCATTGGTTGTAGAAAGAAAACTTCCGTCTAAATAGCAGCAAGTAAAGCGTGATAGCTGAAAAGGCAGCAGTAATTCTAGCACACTGTCAAGCTATCTTGCACAGCCTTATATTTGGTTTAAGGCTTATACTACGTTTCTACAATCAAACCAGATCATTCCAAAACCAACCTAACAAAATTTACTCACGCAACAAAAAGAGTAAACAGGCCTTTACCTACACCACAAACAGTGAACATGTTTGGTCAACAAAGTAACACAACTGTCATTTTTGTTTTTCTGGGAGTTTGGTTTCATAAACCACTGTAATATTTACTATACAGTTTTTATTGTAAAGGTGGATTGACCTTCAAAATGTGTAAGTGAGTCAAGATGGTTGCTCAACAGGCATTAAACAAATAACCTAACTCTTAACTCAGATGCCCTGCAGAATTCAAACTCAGTACTCCCTTTGGATTTGAATTTCTAAAGAAACAGGACATCTGAAGTTTTAATGCAAACAAAGCTAAAGCGGGATATAAAAAAGCAGACACTTCATCAAAAGATCATAGTTGCAAAAACCCCACAAGGACATTATCCGACAGTAGCTTTATATAGAGTGATTGCAAGAAGTAGGAAGCTTTTACTTGCCACAATGAATTTCAATATAGTAGGTTACAATAAATCCATTAATAAAATAATTGTATTACCTTCTTTGGAACACATTCCAGTAACTATTCCAAAGAACTATAGAATCAAATACCGTATTATGCATTGCTGTACAAGGCACTGGTAAGACCTTACTTAGAATACTGTGTTTTGTTTCCAAACAACTCACCCAGTGTAATCTGCAAACCATGTTTTCTTTAATAGGCTAATGTTTCCTCATTTCACTCATCACAGTGCAAAGATGATATCATCATTATCAGTCTTTAAAAGATATTTTTTCCTATCATTGTGCAAAGAATTGGAACTTGTTCCAATCTTATGTTCGTTTCATTTCAGGAAAGCATCTACCATTAATAGTAAAAGGGCAACACCCTCTTTTGCTTTCAGAACATCTTACAGGACACCATAAAAAGCACAGTGAGACAGTGGCCTGACAAAATACTTGAGCACACACAGGTTGGATAAAAAACAACGATTAAAAAAAAAGATTTTTTTTTATTTAAACCAGATTTTTTTTAAATTTAATTGTACTTAATATTTTGTTAAGATTTTTTTTTTTTAAATCCCAAACAAACCTATATAAATATAGTTTTAATTTAAGATATGATAAAGCTCAAAGATTTCATGGAATAGGGATTATAACTGCTAATTATATACTACTTGAGACAATATATTCATGTAAGCTTTTTAGAAAAGTTTTATAAATAGGTCACAACAGGCCATAAACTATATTAGGGGCCTAATTTTATGGGGTTCCCAAAGGCTTTTCTATAGATTAGTGAAGATTAAAGAAAACCACTCTACTCAATGGGACTCAGTGTTCAGTCTAGAAGATCTCATTAAGAATCTCTGTGATGCTTAGTTTCAATTCCCAAACTGTGGATTTGTCTCTCCAGAAAATATCCTTGTTAACAGCTGTATGCGGAGATGAGAGATAACTAACCCACACATTAGCCCTATTGTTTCTCTGCAAGTCTGTGTACAGAGTTAAGCCCTTACCTTTCTCTAAAAGTGCAAAGTTTCAAGAAGTTAAATGAATAAAGAATATTGAACAACAAGAATGTACCTTTTGTAGAAAACAGCGATTAAATTAAGGCTTCCTGATCAGTGATTTAAATTATGGTTCAAATTGATTTAATTTAAATCAAATCCACCCTGCACACACAAAATAAAAGGAGACTTCAAATGGTTAAATTTAATGGAACTACTCATACATTTAAAGTTACATTCTTTATATGTGCCTAAGAGTTTTTCTAGGACCTGGACCTAACAGTTATCCTGTCCAAAAAAATTGCAGTTCTTAAATATCTGTTTTATTAAGTATAATTGAAATATGTATTTTAATATTAAAACTGTTATAAGACATTATCTTTAAAAAGGTTCCTACATTTACATTCTCAAACACGTTCAAAACAGCTGAATTCCTTCCATTAGACTGTCCTCAATAGTGCACTGGACAATTAACAGAAGAGCTACATATTAGATGTTTTGGGGGTGTTGGTTGTAGCTGTGTTGGTCTAATAAAAGATACCACATTTACCCAAAGAACCTTGTTTGCCTGTGTCCTTAGACCCACTAAATAGTTGGAAACATTGTTCTTTGCAAAATTTCGGGACAAACACCGAGAAAGAAGAAATTAACCAAGTTACATTTGACAAAGACTAACCAGCAGATGGTGCTGGATAATAAAATGTTTCTCTTTATAGAATTATTCTAATAGAAACAACTACAAATTCTAGGAAACTACTAAGAAAGCAACTTTTCGGCATGGTAGTAGTGTCAGATACTGCAAAAGAAGGCCTGCTGTGGATCAGAGGTTCCCAACCCCCAGGCCACGAAGGGTTGACTGCTCAACTGGAACTCTGGAAGGGACTGGCATACAGTGGACCAGTAGCCAACCCTTTCTTACTCCGAGTATAAAAAAGCGTTGGCTGCCAGTCCGCAGTATGCTGGTCCTCAGCCACTTCTGGGCCGCAGCTTGCTGGTCCATGGTTTAAAAAGGTTGGGAACCACTGCTGTGGATGATACAGCAGAAACCACAGAGGTATAACTTTCCTAAGTTGGAAAAAGGTGAGTGTAAGGAAAAGTTAACGTTCTGTTTTTTTCCCTAGGTAGCATAACTTATTAAGGACACCAAACATGTTAAAGGACTTCAGAATTTAAATCCTGGCCCTCTGTTGAAGGCTAGTGCAAGTAATACCAACCAATGTCACTTAGCAACAAGATTTCTGAATATTATTTTACTTTTCCTTAGTAGTTTATTAAATCTCATAGTTACTTACATTTTCTTACAAAACAAAGTGACAGTTACCAAAAAATAACAAAGGAAAACTAGGAATTTTAATTCAGATTATGAGAGAACACCTCCTGTCCTACAGGGAAGTTTGCAAACTCACTTTTAAAGGCTGACTTCTCCAAGTGCTTTAAAAATGACTTTTTCAGACTGCTTTGAAATGTGATATGCCTTATGAAGCTACTGGGTTGAATTAGTGATTCAAATTTAGTCTCACCTATGTCAGGAGTTTATAAAATGTACCCTCCAGACTAGAACATCTCTTAAAACTAACAGATATTACCAATTTTTTAGTGCTTATCTAGGGAATCAAACCATGGCTTTTGTCAGGCCTCAAAGGCTCTTGATCACTTGACATTCACACCAGGAAATGGCACCTAATACAACATCTCTTTAGAAAAAACAATGTTTTTAATATTTAACACAGCATTAAAACCTACAGACAGACAAGAGTCTAGTGTTCATGTGCCAAAGTGATTACACTACACACACACGCAGGGGCTGAGTACCCAGGGGTGTTATAAACCCACAAGTTTTATGTGACTTGGAACATCTCTACTCCCTGAACCCAAGCAATACCTGAAAATAATATGAAATAAAATGCAAATACATTGCTATAATTCAGTGTTTTGTTTGGGGTTTTTTTGAGAAACTAATCTGCAAAAGAATATTTATCAGGTACTAAAATTATTTTTGAAAAAAAATTACTTATGTAAACACCTACAGGAAGGAAAACAAGGTAAGAGCAAAATAAAAAGTTAATGTGTACATTACACTGAATGTGTTGGGCAGCAGAGCTGGCAAGAGGACAGGAGAAGGAAGCAGCTTGAACTGGTGTCTGGCTGGTGAGGAATGGCATGGGGCAACAAGCCCGGCTGCAAAACAAAGGAAGTGTGTAACTTTCTGATAAGATGCTGACTGCGATGATGATCAGGGTAAGATGGCAAAAAAATATTTTTATCTGCTACTCATTTATAAAATAATGAAGACTTCATACAGAGCTTTCCAGCTTCTTGGCTACTGAAAACACACTGTATTATAGCATATTATTCAGGGGCTGGATCATAAATACTGCACAACAGTTTTGCTGGCCCAAAGATAAAACAATAAAGGAGTTTGGAGTGTGGGGGACAGGGGGAAAATGAGAAAGAGTAAGATGTTCCTGTTCCTACTCAGCAGGGATGACATCTCCCATCCTTCTGAGACCCCAATTACTTGTTTGCGGTCATGCTATAAGCCAGCACCAAGGCCACTCGTCCCAGGCCACAGCTTATAGGTTATACTATATCCAGTGCTCGTCCCAAGACCCAGGGGCTATCAGCCTGTACCAGTCAGGTTCTGCACGTGGTGAGAAGGAAACTGGAGTATGGGACCGCATGAGGGCATGAAGCCACCCCTGAACCAACTTTCCTGCTCCCACATACAGCCCCACAACAGTCCCTTTAGCCCAAGGGTGTCCAAACTTTTTGAATGTGGGGCCGGATCACAAACTTTTTAATCACCCAGTGGGCTGGCAAGCCATATTCAAAGACCTCACAGAAAGTGGTATCACATCAGGAAGTGCTGTCACGTGACTTTTGACACCGATGAAGTTGCAGGAAGTGACAATGAAATGGGTCTAACCAGTTCAAAACTCTCCCTCTATAGCATCCACCTCTGCCACTGTTCGGGACAAGATACTGAGCTAGATGGACCATGGGGCTAACCAAGCATGGCACTTTTTATGCTCTTATGTTCAGAAGCTCTTATGTTCTTTGGCTGAGCTTCCAAACTATGGCTGAGCTTTGCAAAAAGGGGTAGACAGGCATGTTACAAAGTTGTCATAAAAGATTTGGAGCCCTCTAAATCCCATTCATTTTAATGGAAGTTGGACTGAGATTGTCAAAGCTGAGTCAAAAGGCCAACCAAATCATGCCAACCAAATAAGTCAAAATATATTTTGCATGTCTATGCAGTGGATCTATGTGGGGCTCTCCAAGAATTTTACAAACGTGAAATGAACCTCAGGACAAGCCCAGCCAGAGCAGCAGGGGCTCAGCTGCACTTTCCCCCTACCTGCGCTGGTCAGTCCCAAGCGGCACACGGCCCCACCGCCGCCTCTGCTGGCTGGTGCCAACCCGGGTGGGTCTGTCCCATCTGGAGCAGCGTACAGCTGAAGCTGGCTTCCCATGTGCTACTGGGGATGGGAGGAGCCTGGCCAGGTTGTCACTGGCCAGCAGAAGTGGCAGTGGAGCCATGTGCCTCTCAGGACTGACGGGCGCAGGCAAGGGGAAAATGCAGCTCAGCCCCTGCCGCTCCGGCCAGGCTCATCCTGTCCTGAGCGGCACATGGCTCTGCCGCCATTTCTGCTGGCCGGTGCAGACCCAGCTGGGCTCCTCCCATCCCCAGTAGCTCGTGGGAAGCCAGCTTCAGCTGCATGCCACTTCTCCTGGCTGGTGCTGATCCAGCTGGGTCCGTTCAATACAGAGCAGCATGCGGCTGAAGCCAGGTTCCCATGTGCTATAATTACGAGTCAGAGCAAACCTGATTAATCAAGTCTGCTGGGGTGTAGTAATAGCTGCACTCCAGCAGCCTCCAGCATCTTGTATATCAGCACCCCCACACTTAAAAATGGTGGTGGGGGCACTTTATTTAAAGCTCTCAGAGCCACTCTAATTAAAGCACTCCCCCACCATTCCCAGAGCAAGTGTATAAATGCCCATAGAGAACTGAATGACAGACCGTGTACAGGCATTACATTTCTACTATGAGAATCACAGTTCTCCCAGTAGAAATGAACAGTGTACAAGCATTCACACAATTTCTCCCAAACAAAACATGCTCCTATCAACAGGCGCTTTTCCAGCTCTGAACCTGGCATATCTCCCCTGTGAGAGAGTTCCTCTCACAAGAGTGATGCAAAACTCTAGAACTCTTGGTTCAGAGATGATACCTTTTATTAGACCAACTACGAAATATCACAAACTTTTTTTGCAAGCTTTCAGGCACACACACCCTTCCCCAGGCTCAGGGAAAACTAATGATGGTAAAAAGTCCCCATAGGTAGAAAATAAGCTTCTTTTTTGTACAGAGGAAGCTGAAGGTGGAAGTATGTTCCTCTGAGTCCATGTTAGTGTCTTTGTGAGTTACTCTTTGATGTGCAGGTAAGGCAGGATTCCTTCCCTGGTGGTGTCAGATGGCAAAAAGGCAGGGAGGTACAGAAATCTTTCTTACTGTTCAACAGCGAAGTTCAAATCCAAAAAATCAGCTAAAGCCGCAGATTTTCTCCCTTAAAGGAGAAAAATAGGGGAAATGGTGGATTTCCCTCTGCAGGCCAGCAGAGTTTCAGCCTGCAAGGGGCCAGGGGGGAACAGGAGGAGGGTGATCAGGCAGGGGGTGCCATGTGCATGGCAGCATGGGACTCCTAGTGGCGGCACTGAGCCCTCATACCCCACTGTGCTCTGCCATGCTGGGTCCTGCCTGCTGGTCTGTAGAGGCCCCCAGGGGGATGGCGGTAGAGCGGAGCACCCTGCATCTGCCCCTCCCTCATGGGCTCCGCTCCAGCTGTGCTGCCTATTGGGGAGCGGGGACTGCAGCAGCCACTGCCTTCTACAGGCAGCAGCCAGGGCTCAGGCACTGCGGGGGGGGGGAGCAGAGGCTGCAGATCTAAGTTCCTGACCCTGTCGTTCTGGCAGCTGGGGGCCCCCTCTGGCAGGGCTGAGGGGGTAGGGGGTTGTAGGGGGCACCAGCAGGGCCAGGGAGCTGTGGGTCAAGAGAGAGGCACCAGTAGGGCTGGGGGGCTGTGGCTTGGGAGCGAGAGGCAATGGCATGGGCAAGGCACTGGCATATCAGGGATGCTCAGCACCTCAAAGCAGTTGGGGGAGGGAG